TCAGCCTTCATTTGGGTTTCAGTAATTCCTCTCAGTTACATTACCCTTGATCAAGCCCTACCAGGCCTCCTACACCCTCTTCAGCACTGATTTGGATCACTGTTGTTCTCTTGTCCCTGGCTTTGTTAACACCACTTCCTTTCCCCCACCTTCCCCTCTCCCATGTCCACCTGGAGCTGTCAGTCCCATTGTTTTCTCCTCCATATTGTTCATCCAGTCTATCTTATTTAGACAGACTTGTGGAGAAAATTACATTCACAAGAACAAAACAGCAAAACAAAGCAACAAAAAAAACAACAACAAAAAACGAATGACAAAAAGAAAACAAACTAAAGAAGAAAAGCTTGTAGTTAGTTCAATGACTGTTTGTTGGCCTTTAGGCGTGTTTTCCGATAGAGTCTGACGGGGTGCCATGCCCTGGCCCCAAAGTCTATTTTGGTATTCCCTGGGGACTTCGTTGCTCTGTTCCCCTTGCTGTTCTGTTGCACTCTCTTAGTGTTTTGCTTCTGTGTGGTGGGTTCAGATCGGGCGCAATTCCCACACTGTGTCTCAGTGTTGTCCCCTGTAGGGCTATGAGTCAGTGAGGGATGTCTTGTCTCATAGTGGGGCCGGCCATATGGTCTTCTCTGTGCATTAGCTGTTCTGAGTGGGGATATCGTCCTCAAGGCATGGTGGGCCAGGATGTGCTCCACTCTCTGTTCCTCCCCCTTCTTTTGCTCCCATGTGCTCTGATGAGACATGTCCCTCTCCCAGAGCTGCAGATTCATTGCTGTCCTCTCAAATAAATTCTGGGGGAGGAGCTGGTGTCCATTTAGTTGTGATTGGGGCTGGCCCCTCAGACTTCTCCACTGGTTCCCTATTCCATGTTGCCATGTTGCATTCACATCTTGGAGCACCGGCTTGAAGTCTGGTCCCTCTTTCCTTGTGGAGATATAAACAATACTCTCCCCTTGGGTGGGTTAGTGCCCTATTCCCCCACTACCCATTTCTTTTTGTTTTTCTTCCTTTTTCCCCCCTCCTTTTTAGTTGGCTACCATATGTATCCCTGGATTTTATCTGGCCCCTGCCATACTACCTGGACCTCGTCGCAGGAATGTTTGTATGCCCCTTTTGCATTTTTTTAAAGTTACCTCAGTGGACTCATGTTCCTAGCAGCATTTCAGACTGACTATAGTCTCCTTTTAAAGTTCAGTCTTAGTTTCTTCATGGCTCCAAATTTTTCCAGCTTCAGGCACTAGTTCAGACTTCAGAAAGCCAGAGGGTTTCTTTTTATTCTTCTTCAGTCTGTCAACAGTGCTCTAGGCAAGTCCCTTTGAATGCAAATGCCCTGAACACTCAAAGCACTGGGTGGGGCTTATCTTTTCAGAACCTTCTTTGCAAGTATTTCCCATATTCATTTACAGTTTCAATTTAATGGCTAAAGGCAAGTAGTCTTACAAACTATTTCTACCAGTCATTTTAGCAATAACAATAGGCAAAAGAAAATAGTATAAACCTCCTTCAGCCAGATCCTACACTAAATTCTTAAAAGTCATATTTGATCCTTAACTATCTTAACTAAACTTTCTTTTTTTAAAAAAAATCATTTTATTGGGTGCTCTTACCACTCTTATCACAATCCATCCATCCATCCATGTGTCATGCACATTTGTACATATGTTGCCATCATCTTTCTTATCTAAACTATTCTTATGCAATATGGCCTTAGGCCTCTGACTGCATCAAGACACAGGGCGGTGCCTTTTGTCATCCATTTGTACCTGTCAGCCATTTGACCAAGCAGCATGGGCCACAGACTTCAAGGGGCCATTTTGCCCCCTGAGCTCAAATTTTATATTTATTACATTCATTTTTGCCATTTCAAACAGGAATAACCAAAGATAACAATCAAAGAATAGAATAAAAACTTTGTAACACCCCATGTTTTTTCCCAAGAAAACAATGAAGTAAACAGTGTGGGCCTATTAGACCTCTGGCTACCCAAGGAAGGACAACTACTGAGGCAGAGGTCAAACAAGCGTCCACTCTCCATCCTGATGCTTTGTTTCTCCAGTGCCCCACTGCCAAGATGTGTGTTAGTCTGGGTTGACTAGCGAAACAAATCCAGACACACCTGTGTGTAAGAGAGAGCTTTATATCAAAGAGCAATTATATATCGAGAAAACATCCCAGCCCAGTCCAGATCAAGTCTATCAGTCTGATAGTAGCCCATAGGTCTGATACTAGTCCATAATTCCCTCTTCAGAGTCACACAGCACACGCAATGATGTAAAATGCAGGAAGATCACAGGCCAGGGTGTGAAAAGTCTTGTGGATCCAATGGCAGTGGGAACATCTTAGCACTGGTTTAATGGTAATTGTAAGAACAGGATTTGCCTATAACAAATAAGTCTAAAAAATAATTATTTTTCAAATATCCTCAAAAAGGACACAAAAATGTAGTTACCATTATTTTAAGTAGAGTTGACCATATTTGATGTTTTATAGAAAGAAGCATTTCTGATGGTAGTTTTGTATGTTACACAGTTGAAATCCTTCGTGCCTGTGGCTGTTGTCACTTTCCTGTGAGAGCTCAAAGTGGCATCGCAGCAGTGGGCTGTGAGAATGGCTGCCGGAGAAGAGAAGCAGGGCTTGTTGGAGGTTGTTGAAAGGCCCACCAGTCAGCCAACCCACCCCAGAGCCTCTCTGGGGGCCCTAAACAGTCCAGCTTTGTTGGGAATTTATTGGCCTGTATACGTGTTACCACTTACGTTGGGGGTGCAGGATGTAAACTAGAAAAAACAGAAAGTGAGCTGTGTTCTAGTGCATTGTTTTATACTGTCCAATACGTCAAATGGACTTTTAATTGTTATTTAAAACTGGGGGGATAAAAATATGAACTTTTTGATCCTAACTGTTCATTCTCAGGAGTGCTGGTGAGCACAGGAGTCCCAGCCCAGTGGTTAAGCACTTGGCTGATAAGTGGACGGTCAGTGGTTCTATCAGCCGCTCCAAGGGAGGAGGACAGGGCAGTCTGCTTCGGTGAAGGTGACAGCCGGCCCTGGAGCAGCTCTCCTTGTCTGGAGCTCGCCGGCAGTCAGCATTGACTCAACCACAATGGGCTTGGTTTGGCATTGATGTTTAAAAAGCTAATGGCATACAACAAGTAGGACAAGGAAGAAGAAATGTCCTAAAATTGTTTGTAGTGGTGATTACACAACTGTTTTGAATTGCTTGAACTATTGAAATGCATGATATGTGAATTATACGTCTGTAAAGTTGTAAAAAAAAAGGTGATGATGTGACTGTAAGTATCTCATAATCTGAATTATATGTCTGTAAAGTTGTTGTAAAAAAAAAGGTGATGATGTGACTGTAAGTATCTCATAATCTATCTGTATCCCTTACGCGTGTAACATGTACAATTTTATAGTGGTATTTATTACTTACCAGGACTTTGTGAAAGCCACTTCTGCGGTTCTCAGTAGTATATCAGAATAACTTTATTCTTTGATTTTTCCACAGGAATCTGTAAGTTTAGTCCCCATGTTCCAAGGACTCGACCTTGAAACAATGCCTCATAACTCTCTGAAACAAGAAATGCCTCCTTCAGGTATGTGGGAAGCCAACTTGAGAATTGTGGTATATAATTGCTTTATTCTTAAATTCATAAGGCCTAGCTTGAGAAGAATTACATGGAAAGGTGTTTGACTCACCATTATAACTGAGGTTTGGCTCTCCCATTCAGGGAGAGGCATTTTTGGCCGAGGCTTATCCATGAACAAGGTGTGCAAGGACAAAGAAAAACCTCAACCCACTTCTCCAGGTCCTTCAGTGCTGGCAGCTGGGGATAGCAAGTTGGCAGAGGCTTCCGTTGGCTGGAACAGGTGGGTAACTCTGCCTTCTCAGGAAACTCATAGTCAAATGGAATCCCTTAGTCCTGAGGGAAACTCTTAATAAGGGTTGCATGTTTTCATATGGAAGAATGGACATTTTCCAAGTGTAGTCAGTAGCTGTTGATTCAGTGATTGGACAAGAGTCAAACTTGGTTTTCCAAAACTTCATTTGCCCTTGAGCTGATTGTACAGGCTTTCCCTGCGTAAGTCACACTTGCACCTCAGTTCTGCTGTGGGGATAATATCAATAGCAGTCATGTGGACCTGGAGAGATTCCCCAGGCTATGCTTGGGTTCCCGTGGCTGACTCCTCCCGAGAAAGAACATCTACTTGGAGTAGCGTAGACGGAGCCTGGTAGAAGCATGAACATGCCTCCATTTGCAACATTTCAGAATGCTTGGAAGAGGACATTTGGATGTTTCTCCGTTACCCTTGGGCAGAGCAGCTGGTGGGATAGGCAGAGGAGTATACAGACCTCCCAGTGCATGCGGCCTGATTTCTCGGGACCCACCACAGTTGTCATCACCGCCACTGCTGCCCCAGGCCTCGCTGTGCTCTCCAGATCACCCTCCAGTTGTGACTATGGAGCAGAAGCAAAAGTAAGTCGGGGACACTGCCACCTGGGCTTCATTGCTGTAGCAAGTGGCCTGTCTGCTTTGACTAGTTTGTGGTGTGTTGTGAACTATGTTTCCGTTGTATCTGAAACCTTCCTTAGGTGCTAGGGACTAGTTTTGGCCCCTCATGCCACCGGTTGGGGAGTTTAAGGGAAAGTCCTGTGAAGTGAAATGTGTTCAACAGAGAATGTCACGTGTGTCAGAGTGTCGAGTGGTTACTTCATCGCTCTCCAGTCCAGTGCAGATACTTCTTTGTCCGACTACACCAGGAAATCAGGAAGAATGCTGTACAGCTCACCTCTCTGTATAGAGCTAGTTTATTGTGTTCCTAGTGAGCTGGCCTCACTTTTCCCAGTGTCTCAAGCTCCTAATCGGACATCTAGGGTGCCGTTGCTTCTCCGGTACATGTTGCGAATGTGTCTTCCAACCTTCAGCATTTGCTTTGGCTTGTGAAATGCTGTTCTCTTCCCCAGGCTTAGGGATCTGTCAGCACGTGTGGCCAGTGTAGGTTTGTTGTTTTGGGTAGTTGTGCTTGCTTTTGTTTTTTATTTTTATTTTCCAGAGAACATTTTTTGAAGCAAGGATCAAAAGGAAAACCTCAGTCTTTGGGACTGAACCTCATCAAAATACAGTGCCACAATGAAGCTGTGTACCAATACCACGTGACCTTCAGGTATTCACACTGTGCAAATAATTTTAGAGCAATAACTAGGATTTCTGTAAGATAAGAATGTATGTTATCTGTCTTCTCTTTTAAGAACTCAGTCATGAGCTAGAGACTTAGTTGAAGTGGTAAAATTGAATGTGCTAAAATGTGTGTGGAGAAGATGAGTAGGTGGAAGCTGTTTTGAAGGCCAGCCTGATTGGAGGCAGAGAGCGAGGAAAGGGCCAGCTAGCAGGAAACCCTTGCTACAGGCTGTGGAAAGCAAAGTTAGGCTCCATTTGAATAAGGAGTAGATGGCTAACTTTGGCCACAGGAAAAATGCTAGTGGGTGTGCTTCTGAGAGCATCCTCGGTGACCTAATGGCTTTGCGGCAAACACATCACAGACGAGAACAAGGTCGTGAGAGCAGCTTTGGGAAGCAGCCCCTCACAATGAAGAATATGTAAGAGTAATGAGAAATGGAGCGGTAATTAATGGAGGGGTTGCTCTGAAGATTTCAATGAGCTACAAAAGCAAAACTGAGTTCACAGATAAAGAAATAATGCAGAGAAGAGCAGAATGGAACCACAGATGGGGAAGGTAGTGGGAATGTAAGGATCAAGGAGCATTAAAGCAAGAGAATCCTTGCTTTGAAAATGGGTCGACACGTAATGAAATAGAAAGGTGTGGAAGGAGCCTCACAGGGAGCCTGCATCCACTGGGAGGTGGAAAAGACAGGGATTTGTAGGTTTTAAGGTTGTAGATGTGCACCTTGAAGCGTGGTGGTGCTGTCAGGTAAGCCTGGGACTATTAGTTAGCAAGGTCAGAGATTCTGCCCCACTCATGACGTTGCTCCGAGTCAGAATCCACTCCAGGGAGGGGTTCCGACCTTCGATGGGCAGGTGATGTCAAGTCTTTGATCGAGTGTTGAGAGGATGGATCAGTAAGCAGGGCATCCTATAATTTTCTCATAGTCCGTGAAGGCAACTTTAAATACTGGGTTTAGGGCATATTCTGTGTATGAGGGTATTTCTTGAGAAATGTTTTGAAATGTTGTATGAGCGTATGCTTGCTTTTGAGGACAGGTAGGTTGCATTATTCTGACCCTTCCTAGCATTATGTGTGGTTAACCTTCGCAGTTGCAGAGCAGAGTTGTGTATTGCTGTGATGAAATAGGACAGTCATTGCATTAAAGCGACTGCTTGAGTTTTCTCAAGCTGGGAAGGTTGTGACAAAGAAGGAATCAAAGGTTGAAATTCCCATGAATGAAAAGAGGTTAAAAAGAAAGAAAGAAAAGAGGTTAAATGTAAATCCGGTTTTAAAAATGTGTTTATGTAGACTTTAAAGCATGGTTGTCAGTCAGTGGCCCATCCACAGGCCACATCTGGCCTTCCAGCTCTCAGTGCAATACGAGAGTACACTCATTTGCTGACGTACTGATGTAGACGGCCAGGTGGAGTTGTGACTGGGAAGCCCTAGTTCTTGCTCTGTGGGTCTTTGAGAAACAGCTTGCTGGTGCCTGGTAATGTTTTCACACGTGTATGTGGACATGTTACGGCATGGAACGACAGGTGGTTTTTTCCTTTACTTAGATTTTCTGATGTCTGCCGGGAGCAAGTGTCCTTTTTTCAAGTCAGAGTTGAATTTTTTAATAGAACCACTAGGTGGGGCCACAGTTACAAATTAGTACTCTTAACAGTGCACAGCATTAGTGAAAGTTCCTGTTTTTCACATGGCAGTAAAATCCTGTATTTTGTTTTCTAGCCCCAACGTGGAGTGCAGAAGCATGCGGTTTGGCATGTTAAAGGACCATCAGGCTGTCACCGGAAATGTTACTGCTTTTGATGGATCCATTCTCTATCTGCCTGTTAAACTTCAACAAGTGAGATCAAATAGGAAGTAAACTTTTCCATGAAACTTAAGGAAAACAGTGTTTTCCGTAGTGGGAGATGAAAGAATCCCTGGGCTGTGCTTTGCTGTGTCCAGGAGCCCTGGTGGTGCTGTGGGTTAGGGTTAGGCTGTGAGCTGGAGAGTGGTGGTGCAGACCCCCTAGGTGCTTCTCAGTGCGATGGATGATATTGTCTGCTCCCGTGGAGATGTTCATTCCCATGGGAATGTATATGGGGGACTTTTAAGAGTGAGAGTCAGCTTGACAGCAGTGGGCTCACGTTTTGGATTCCTCTGCTTAGAGGGAAAGAAAATTTCTGTTTAGCGTAATTGGGGAAACTTTCTCATTTGGTTTCTCATGAAACCAGTGACCTTTGACCTCAGCAATGGAGACTTTTTAAAATTCCAAGTTCAAAGGGATTCTGTCAAGTGTTCTCCAATCTGGGCAGCACAGGGAGGGAGCGCACAGAAAAATGAAGATAGCTTAGCGTCTCTAATAGTTGGCTTAAAGTAAGACTTGCTAAATCTGCCTTTTCTCGTGTGTGTGCACTTACTTGTTAGGTTCTTGAGTTTAAAAGCCACAGGAAAACCGATGGTGCTGAGATCTCCATTAAGGTTCAGATGACAAAGACCCTCGAGCCCTGCTCTGACTTGTGCATACCCTTCTACAATGTTGTTTTCCGTAGGTGAGAAACCGAAACTCGTTTTCTCTTTCGAGGATTCTTCCTTTGCAGTAAATAGATGAGACTCACTTCCTCAAAAATTCTCTCCCTAGTGATAGGTCAGAGTTGGATGCCTTAGCATCAGATTAGAGGTCGTTGGCTAAAGGAATGGCATTCCTTCCGGAACTTCCGAATAGTCCCTAATGTCTGCCCGGCACACACTAATTCCCTTTGCCAAGGCTTGTTGTCGTCATCGTAGACATCGGTGCTCTTGCATTTTTCCTTCCCTCAGAGCCACTGTGTAGGGCAGAGTAGAACCGCTCCTGTGTCCTGCATGCTTTGTGGTTAATGGTAAGAAGAAAATGTCAATTTAGCCTGGCTAAATTTAGATAATTGACTGGTTAATAAATAAGAAAGGGCTGCAGACAGTGCATAGACTTTAATATGCTTTGGTCATGTTATTTGGCAAAATTATTCTTGCTAACATAAAAGTTCCATTGCACAAAGAGCAATCCCTCTGACCCTTTACACTTCCAAAGTAAAGTGTAACTAAGGGGAGGGGAAATATTTTTTTCTTCTATTAGAAAACCTATTCTTAATTTTTATTTCAGGGTAATGAAACTTTTAGATATGAAACTTGTGGGGAGAAACTTTTATGACCCAACCAGTGCTATGGTACTGCAGCAACACAGGTTAGTGTTTTTAATTTTACCTCCCACACTGTTGAATAATCTAGGAAGAAATTTTTAAAAAATCATTTTATTAGGGGCTCTTACAACTCTTATCACAATCTATACATACATCAATTGTGTAAAGCACGTTTGTACATTTCCTTGCCCTCATCATTCTCAAAACATTTGCTCTCCACTTTCGCCCCTGGCATCAGCTTCTCATTTTTTCCCCTGCTCTCCCCCTCCCTCATGAGCCCTTGATAATTTATAAATTATTATTTTGTCATATCTTACACTGTCCGATGTCTCCCTCCACCCATTTTTCTGTTGTCCATCCCCCAGGGAGGAGGTTACAGTGAACCCTCGCCACTTCGCGCTTCGACTTCCGCGGCTTCACTCTATCGCGGTTTTTGCGTAACAGCGCATGCTCTGTCATTACTGCCACTGATTGGCTCATACTGCACACGCTTGATGCCATAAATAATATAATAAATGATAATTGTAACGTCCAAAATGTTTTACTGTATTTTCCCTTTTTCGTTTAATAAATTGGGTAATACGAGTGTAATGGTGACTAAAGGGTGTTTTTTCATGTCCTCTATGCTCTAACTACGAAAATATTTGATTTGCAAATAAGGAATCCTACTTCGCGGAATTTCATTTATCACGGTAGGGTCTAGAACCGATTAACCGCGATAAACGAGGGTTCACTGTATATGTAGATCCTTGTAATCGGTTCCCCCTTTCTACCCGACCTTCCCTCCACCCTCCAGGCATCGCCACTCTCACCACTGGTCCTGAAGGAGTCATCTGTCCTGGATTCCCTGTGTTTCCAGTTGCTATCTGTACCAATGTACATCCTCTGGTCTAGCCAGATTTGTAAGGCAGAATTGGGATCATGATAGTAGGGGGGAGGAAGCATTTAAGGACTAGAGGAAAGTTATATGTTTCATTGTTGCTACCCTGCACCCTGACTGGCTCATCTCCCCACAACCTTTCAGTAAGGAGGTGTCCAGTTGCCTACCGATGGACTTTGAGTCTCCACTCTGCACTCACCCTCATTTACAGTGATATGATTTTTTGTTCCTTGATGCCTGATACCTGATCCCTTCAACACTTCGTGGTCACACAGGGTGGTGTGCATCTTCCATGTGGGCTTTGTTGCTTCTGAGCGAGATGGCCGCTTGTTTATCTTCAAGCCTTTGAGACCCCAGACACTATGTCTTTTGATAGCCAGGCACCATCAACTTTCTTCACCAGATTTGCTTATGCACCCATTTGTCTTCAGTGATCACATTGGGAAGGTGGGCACCCACTGATAGGATGTTTTGTTCTTTGATGTCTGATACCTGGTCCCTTCTACACCTTGTGGTCATACAGGCTAGTGTGCTTCTTCCATGTGGCCTTTGATGCTTCTGAGCTAGATGGCTGCTTGATTATCTGCAAGCCTTTAAGACACCAGACGCTATGTCTTTTGCTAGCTTTCTTCACCACATTTGCTTATGCACCCATTTGTCTTCAGCGATTATGTCGGGAAGGTGTACATCATGGAATGCCAGTTTCTTTTTTTTTTGCCAATTTATTTCTTAATTGTGTGTTGCTTTTTTAAAAGTTTGCAATGATGTTGATTTTTTAAAATTCCTGATGCATTCTCATTATTAGGTAAGAACCACAAAGTAATGTTTCAAAGGGGAGATGGAAGTAGCCCGTGCTTCTAGAACCCTTGGGTAAAGATCACGTGTTTCTCAAGATTGCAGATCTGGCCGGGCTACGCAGCCAGCATCCGGAGGACAGATGGAGGTCTTTTCCTGCTGGCTGATGTGTCCCATAAGGTCATTCGGAATGATTCTGTGCTGGACGTCATGTGAGTGAACTCTACCTTAGCGTGCTAACAATTTCCTTACAAGTTCAGCCATCACTAGTAATACATGTAAATTAGGCTTTCTTTGTTTACAGTTTTATTGACGTGTAATTCTCATACCGTACATTTCAGTGGTTCAAACTTATTCAAAAGAGTTGTGTAATCTTCACCAGAATCAATTTTAGAACCTCTTCATTCTTGTACTCATTAGCTCCCCATTTCCTTCTAACCTCTCTGCCATAACCCTAAGAAACTTATTATTATTTTTATATTAAATGATCATTTTATTGGAGTCTTTTGCAACTCTTACAACAATCCAGACATCAGTTGTTTCAAGCATATTTGTATATATATGTTGCCATCATTCTTTTCTAGACATTTAGTTTCTATCGAGCCCTTGGTATCAGCCTCTTTGTTCCTCCCCACACCCTTGTGTCCCCTTGATAAATTATTATTTTCATATCTTACACCTTCCCCCATGTTTTTGATAGTTCATCCTTCTGGAGGAGTGTGTGTGGTTCTGTGCCTATCATTACGGTTGGCTTCCCTTTCCTCCTTCTCCCCCGCTTCTCTTCTATCCTTCTGGGGTCGCTACTCCCATTCCTGTTCCTGGGTTGCATGTGTCGTGAGCTTGTATCTCTATCTGTGCCTGTGCCCACGCTCTAGTATAACGCGCAGTGAAAGTGGGGGGGTGGGGGTGTGTGTGTGTGAGGAAGCCTCAAGGAACCAGAGGAGGATTGTGTGTTTCATTGGTGCTGTACTGTGCTCTGGTTGACTCATATGACCTCTCTGTGAGAGGATGTTCCATTGTCTACAGATGGACTTTGGGTCTCTGCCCCGTCCCCCCTCATTCTCAACAATATGGTTTTTGTTTGTTTATTTGTTTTGGGTCTTCTGATGCCTGTTACCCGTTCCTGATGACACCTCATGATCTCACAGGCTGGTGTGCTTCTTTCATGTGGGCTTGTTGCTTCTGCGTTCAATGGCTGCTTGTTTAACTTCAAGCCTTTTTTTTAACCAATTACTTTTATTTTAAAAGTATTTTTAAATACTTACATCTCTTAAAACTCTTATCGCAATCCATATTCATTCAGTATGTCAAGCACATTTGCACATATGCTGGCATCATCATTTTCAAAGCATTCTCTTCCCACTTGAGCCCCTGATATCAGGTCCCCATTTCTTCCCCTTCATTTTCCAGCCCTCCCTCCCTCCCTCTAAGTTATAGATTATTATTGTCATATCTTACATCGTTCTCTGTTGCTCCTCACCCACGTTGCTCATCCCCCTGAAAGGGGGTTATAGGTTGATCCTTATAATTGATTCCCCTTTTCTCCCCCTACCCTCCCCTAATCCTCCTGGTATCTCTACTCTCACTGTTGGCCCTGGAGTGTTTATCAATCCTGGATTCCCTATGTTGTGGGCTCTTGTCTGTAGCAGTGTGCATGTTCTGGTCTAATCCGATTTGTAAGGTAGAGTTGAGGTCATGATAGTGGGAGGGATGGAAGCACCAAAGAACTAGAGGAAAGTTATGTGTTTCATCGGTGCTATACTGCACCCTGACTGGCTCATTTCTTCCCTGTGACTCCTCTATGAGGGGATGCAATTGTCTACAGATGGGCATTGGGTCTCCACTCCATGCCCCCCCCCGTCCCATTCACCTTGGGTATGGTTTTATTCTGGGTGTTAGATGCCTGGTACCTGATGGTATCGACACCTCATAATCACACAGGCTGGTGTGGTTTTTATTATGTGGGATTTGTTGCTTCTCAGCTAGATGGTCGCTTGTTTATCTTCAAACCTTTAAGACTCCAGGCGCCTATATCCTTTGATGCTGGGCACCATCCGATTTCTTCGCCACATTTGCTTATGTACCCACTTAGTCTTCAGTGATTGTTCTGGAAGGGTGAGTATCACAGAATACCAGTTTGTTAGAACAAAGTGTTCTTTCATTGAGGAAAGATATGAGCAGAGGCCCGAAGTCCATCTACTTACCTCAGTGTATTGCCATATAAATATATGTACCTAGGTCAATACCTCTGTTTTTATGAACTAATGTATTTACATATGTACACACCTATGCTTATAGCTCTCCATAGCTTTGCTACCTAGATCCTTCCTCTGTTTCCTTTTACCTTCCTCCTGCCCCACCATCACGCTCGCCCTACTTCCTCCTCTTAGTACTTTCTCTCAGCTAGATTGCTGTTGTTCCAATACCCCTAGGGTCTCTGCGTCCTCCTTGTTGACTTTCATTCCCTAGTTGTTCCCTGTCTATGGTGTTTTTTGCTCACCTCTCCCTTCCCCTGCCTCCTCCCCCAAGTTCCTCTGGGACTGTTGGTCCTGTTGCTTTCTCCGCGAGCTTGCTTCCCATGCCTATTTTATATAAGTTGGTAAACCAACAATAACCGAGACCAAACAAGAAGAAAACAAAAGATTGAAAGAAAGGTGGGGGGGGGGGGGGAGGAAAGAAAGAAAGAAAGGTGGGGGAAGAAAAAAAGAAAGGCGGGGAAAAAAGGAAAAGAAACATATTTCCAGGTCTGTCCACTGACCTTTATGACTATCTCCCCATTGGTCCCTGGAGAATTCTGGGAGCTGCCCCTCTTAGCCTGAAGCCTATTTTGGGGGCTCTTTTGGGACTGTGTGGCTTTGCTTTGCTCCCGTTGCTGATCTGTTATGTTCCCTTTGTGGTTGGCCCCACTGTGGGGGGTTCAGACCGGACTAACTCCCCGCTCTGTGTCCCAGTATTGTCCTCTGTCACAATATGCGCCAGTGAGGGACAACATGTCTTGAGCTGTTGTCGGCCCTGCAGTCCTTTCTGTGCCACCGCAGCTCCGTGCAGGGCGTCGTTCTCTAGGCTTGGTGTGCCCATATGGAGTCTTCTAAGACACTTACTAATCCAGTTCTGTGTCTCTGGATTTACCTATCCAGGATCTCACATAAAGACAAACATACAAACCATACCCCTCCCCCAGCACCCAACAACAAAACACAGAAAGACCTTAATTCAAATGAAAGCAGAAAATAATGAAAAACAAGACCAAGGTATTAGTGTTTGGTTTTCTAATGGTAGACTAGAAGGAGAATACTGAGTGGGATTCTGAATGGAGATCTGTACATTCACTTAGGAAGTTTATTTAAGTCTCTGGTTCAGCAGGCCTAGTTTAATATGCACACATCAGAATATTTGTTTAATAATATGTGGCATATATGCTAACACAATGCAGATTTGTAAAATCTAATAGCTATGTAAAATCTGATCTTACACATAAATTTGTGCACCTTTTAAATGTTTTCAGTATATACTTAGAACTGAAACTGCTTAATAAAAGTAATAAATAATTTTAAGGCTTTTAATATATAATAAAACTTAAAACAGACTTACTGCCATCGGGCCAGTGGTGACTCATAGTGACTCCCTGTGGTTTCTGGGAGTGGTTATAGGAGTAGATAGCTCAGTCTTTCTCCTGTGGAGTTGCCGGTGGTTTCAAACTACTGACCATCTTGATGTGCAGCCCAATGTGTGACCACATGAAGGCTCCTGCTAATATATAATTGGTCTTTAAGTAAATCCTGTCAAGTTAGCCTCTGGAGGTCTTATGGTTTGCCAAGTAACTGCTGGGTATTTAGCTTAGAGCTCTTTGTTTATTTGTTACATTCAGTCATTTAATCAGGATATACTTGGGAGGCTCAGTTATAATCCAGAGTCTTGAGATAATTATCTATTGACAAAAATAAAAGAAACTCTCCTCATACATAATGAATAACAAGCATATGTTTAGTGTAAGAATGGTAAGAGCTATAAAAAGGAAGAAGTATAACTCATTCTGATGGATCAATAGTACTGGGACTGGAAAAGTAGAGAGTTGCAGTTTTAAGTAGTCAAACTTATTTGAACGAACACTTGAACATTATGAGGGAATTAACTGTGCTTGTTAGTCTGGGTACTTTAGAGAAACAAATCCACAGAAACTCATGTATAAGAGAGAGTTTTATATAAAGGGTAAGTGCATATCAAGAAAACATCCCAACCCATTGCTGCCCAAGCCCACAAGTCCAACATTAACCCATATGTCCAACACCAGTCCACAAAGTCCTCCTCCATCTCACAAAACACACGCAATGATGCAGACTGCAGGAGGAAAGCTGAGTCAGTGAATGTGTAAGCATCTCATCTCTCGCAGGGGTCTCCACACGGCTGCTCCAGCACCCAGGGCTGCATCGGGGTAGGTCCATGTGGCTTCTCCTCAGGGATGTCTTGCAGGAAGTGAGCCTTGGCAGCTAAAGCAGGGAACTGGCTAAGGCAGCTGCACCCTGGTGGGACCATCAGAAAGCAAGAGATCCGAGAACTAGAAAGGTGAGGCTCACCAAGCTATTTATCTCTCCGCCCTTCAGTCAACCCCACCTGTGTTTATCGGCCAGGTTGGCACAATAAACTAACTACTTCACTGTTTGACTGTATGGGGAGAAGAGAATTCTTGATAAAGGTGAGAATGATGTATGCCTGAGTTGTTCAGGGAACAGCACAGATGCCAGTAAGAATAGAGCAGAGTAAGTTGAGTTAGAGTGGTGGAAGAGAGGGGAAAAATGGAGCAGCTGGTAATGTAGGGCCTTATAAGCTATTATGAGGATTTTATCTTTCACTCTAAGTGACGTAGGACTTTTAACAAAGGAGTGACGTGATTTGTTTAGGTTCTTAAAGGATCACTAGTAACTTTGTGGAGAATACACTTGGTGGGAAGAAGGTAGTACTCAAAAGACCAATTCAGAGGCTTGTGGAGTAATACAATTGAGACAGAATGGAAGCAGTGGACCTAGAAATACTCGATTCTAGGTATACTTTGAGAGTAGAGAAAAAAACAAGAAAGAGCTCCATTCAATTACCTGATTGGATGTAAGGTGTGAGGATGAGAAGTTGAGGATAGTGCAAACTTTTTGTTTGGTGAACTGGTACTTATGTTACTTAGACTAATATGTTCTTTGATGGTGGGATCATGTGTCAATCA